TAAGACATAAGCTGACAGCCAGTGAGTAGCATACATTTATTGAAAAATGGCAGCTCTAAAATAAATAAACAAAAAAACTATTTTTTATTTTTTTTTAATATAATATAATTATAATAATAATTTTGGAATTATCGAAGCTGCATTAAATCAAAAAAGTTAAAAAATCTGAAAGAACACATGCATCTCAGTTTGAATAATTTTTTATACTGTGGCTTATTCCCTTGGGCAAAGTCGGTACTTGGTGCTAAATTCTGTCATTATTGCTGTCAAAGATTGTGTGTCATTGCCTTCTGATGTAAAATGGTGTGCATTTTGTAGATCTTTCAACGTATCGGCTTGTTGCAGTTAATTTCTGTTGAGAGCAATTCAAAAGAAGCCAAAGTCTTCTAAATCCTTTTCAACAAATTAAAGCTCAGTTATCACCCACAGCAGAATCTCTGTCATCTGGGACTGACTGATGAGGGTTTCATCTGTCAACACACTGTAAGATGAGAATCACATACAACAGAGCTTCTGTGTAACATCATTTCACTCCGCTATCATCTCCCTGTTACTCTATTTCTCATCATGTCTCCCAGGGAACACACAAAGGGAGGAAGTCAAGGAAAACCATGTCAAGTTGGGCTGGAAAAAGGGTTGCATGGATAAAACTCCAGCATGATTTATTCAAAATGTAGATGGGAGTTTATAGAGCATCACTCTGTCTTTTTCTGGCTCTCAATTTGTTTTTAGGAGCGTGAATAAGGGACGTGATTGTGTGAATATAATTAATGCATCTTAAAATATCTTCCATACCTCCCCGGGCGCCGCAGCATAAATGGCTGCCCACTGCTCCGGGTGTGTGTTCACGGTGTGTGTGTTCACTGCTGTGTGTGCGCACTTAGGATGGGATAAATGCAGAGCACTAATTCCTAGTATGGGTAACCATACTTGGCCACATGCCACGTCACTAGTTACGTCACTAACAACGAGCTTCCCAGAAATCAGTTACGAACGAGAAATGGGTAATTTAAGTCTAATAAAACTCAGTGTGTAACATCAGCTGTGGTGATGAGGTGACTCACTGTCTCCTTTGCATCCGTAGAAGTTTCTGAAGTTCTTTCAGATCCTTCTCCAGCAAGGGAAACTCATAGAGATCATCCAGAACGTATCTGTACAGAGTCTGCAAATGTGAAACGAACACAAGATTCACATTTTTAGGTTGCAAATGGGGCGTAACTTATTACTATGGCAACTGAAAAATCAGATATTGAGTTCATTTCATTTATTTAAATAACAAAAACGGATAAGCGTGCACCATTTCACCGAGATACATGTTCACATGCAGCGTATGATAATGAAAATGTCTGAGGGCATTTAAAAATCCTCTGAAGCCAGCAATAATATCGCCATCTCGTCCTCATTATGTGGCATTAAGGAATCAAGAGCTGTAGGGGTGGTGGTATTTTTGTATTTCCAAAAATAATTCCCTCCCTTCTCTCCATCCGTACCTTGAGGAATAGTTTGGCGTGCTCGTCGTCCCAGGGCAGGTCTGTGCACAGCGAGCTCCACTGGGACAGCAGGTGCAGCACTTTTCGTTTCCTAAGCAGAGTGTCTCTCCCCTCCTCTTTCATCCTGCCTTTCTTTGAACAATAGGTGGACCCGGAGCAGTTAAGGCATCAAATCTATTCCAGCACGCTAGACTGCTCACATACACAGTTCAGAGCAAGGAGGAAATGCCTGCGGATTAATTCTCTGTATTAAATTAACAGGGGTTCAGTAGCAGAGAATTAATTGCGTGCCCTTGGCTAAACGGCATGGAATTTGTTAAGTGGTTTAATGCCAGATAGATCGTGTTGTTAAGATCATGTAAAAGAACACGTGTAACATAGTGCTGCTCGGTCAAAGTACAGTTCTATGAATTGCTTATAGTTTCATTAGGGGTCTCAGAACATCTCACATTACTTTATTGAGAATTCAGAACAGAGGATACACAATATATAATGTAGAATTTACAACACATGCCTATATACACTGTCAAAACTAATGCGGTTTCATTCACACATTAATTTTGAATTTATTTTCTAATGTTAAGGGCATATGCTTAAAGTCTAGAATTACTTTTTGTAGACCAAGATTAACTGTGCGTACATTTACATTTCAAAACTAGGCCTATATCATTAATGTTTACTGCATGTTAACTATCTAATTTATATAATACTATTAAAATAATAAAATTTATGAATTAATAAAAGATTTAATTATTTCATATATTAAATTAGTAAATATATTTAATTAAAAAGTATATAATATAAAGTATTATGATACATATATACACATTACCATTTAAATTTGAGGTAGAAAGAAATATAATACTTTAGAGAAAATAATACTTTTATTTATAGAAAGAAAATAATACTTTTATTCAGCAAGTACAAATTAAATTGATCAAAAGTGACAGTAAAGACATATATA